TCTTCCTAGCGGTTTTCTTGACAGGAGTATTTGTTAAGATCTTAAAAGTTTCGGGATATTCTTAGCATGTGTTTATGTTAAGCATCACATACTTGGGATATTTCGAAACACTAGAGCCATATCATCCCATGAGGAAGGTAATAAATTGAATTTCCTTCTATTTTTGTTTTTGAATAAGAAGCGAAGACACTCAGAAACAGTAATTCGTTTGATCGCACTTTTACTATTGTAAGAATGTGGATAATGAGAAAACCATCATTGCTGGGAAGGGAAAAAGTACTTTCTTCAATTCGTATTATTACGTGCATGCGCATTTTATCCACCGAATTTTCGCACATTGAATTCGCGCTTCCAGTCAATTGCATGAATGCTAATACAAAAATTATTTGTAATAATGCAAATTATTTCCATTCAGTAGCGTATCCTCGTGACGCGGTTTCCTCTTTTTCAAAATAAGCGTCCAAAATTTCCTCTGAGAGGCCAAGGTACCCGGGAATTAGCCGACAGCAGCAGTTGCTAAAAGCAGTCACACGCTGGCAACCATTGACGCCTTCCTCTTTCGAGGGTTGCTTACAAGCAGACTGATGGCTAATATCCTCATTTGATGGCTAGGATCCCAGAAAAAGCTGGAATATTTGAGGATGTGGTGGAGCGGAAATTTAAGTTAACAAGTTTCAAGAATTCACTAAGTTTTTTCTTTTTTTGGTAAAAAAGGCGAAAATTTTCTCTACTTAGCTCTAAATCAGAGATTTTTTTACCGAAAAACACGAATCTGGCGCTATTTCTTTCGACTTTTTCTCTTTGGAGTTTTTCTCCAAGTTTTCCTTGGAGTGCCCTGGATTTGTTTCGTTTCCCGGATACGCCACTGATTCAGCTATTGCTAACAAAATTGTGTTGTATTTTTGACTTGTACGAATTTTTCGCGCATTTTATTCATACTATTTGTGAAAAAACGGAACGCATGTTTATCACACCAAAACTGCACATATTTGTTTGTTCGTTTTTTTTGCCTTGGGCATTATAATTAAGTGTTACGCATGGGAGAAGGAATGCGTTGTGGAAAGAGGGAGGGGACGAGGGAAAGGACGGGGGAGGAGGGGAAGGGATGGAAGAGAGGATATGAGGGAAACACCAAAATCCCCTAAAAAAGAGTATTTTTTGGAGCTCTTGGTTAAATTATTTAACAGTTATCACATCTTACACATTGATTTTCAGTAGGTTTTGTTCAGATTTAAGTTTTTGCTGACTTTTGACCTTAATTACTTTTTTTAACAAAATTGGTGTTGAATTTTTGACTCTTTTTTGAAGCATTTTAATTTGTAATAATTTTAATTTTGATCAGGAAATTGAGGTATTTACTTAAGAATCATGTCAGTTTTTTTGGCTTTTTTCGAAGCATTTTAATTGATTTTAGTTAGGTAATTGAAGGATTTTTTTTAAAAAATATATAATGCCTGGGCGATCTTAAAACTTAGTAAAAGTGCTAAGCTTTTTTAATAGATCCAAGCAGAGAATTGTTAGCACTTTTCAGGGAGTAGAAAAAAAAACAGCAGCGAAGTATGAAGACTGAAGCATTATTTCACATAGGAGCTGAGATAAGACGTTTCGGTACACTACGTTATTTCACTGAATAATTTTAAAGAGAAAACTGTATTGGTGAGAAAAGAGAGGACCCGTTTTTGGCCTTGTTTATTTGTAATTTTCAAAAAAAAAAA